AAGAAAAAAATGCCAATTTTTGGCTTAAATTTGAAAGGGTCTCATTTAATAAGTGAACAACAAGGAAATATACAATATCAAGGCTGAAATCTTGTCTATATTACCATACATTTCGAATCACACATTATTTTAAACTTGCACATTTTAAACCATAGTTACAGAATTGTAAAGGAATATATTGAAGGCATAGCCTTATATTTATTGGACTTTTGGTTTAATTCTCTATAATTTCAAAATAGTATTGTCATATGAAACAATACTATTTTTTTTACTCTGATAAAAACAAGAACTGAACTGAGTACTTCACTGTATTTTTCTAAAGAACTCACTTCCAATGAACAAGTGTTCAATTTCATAGTTAGGAAATTATTATGTTATTAAAACTTGAATTTTTCTCTCACTGTATCTCAGTCTTTTGATTATATGTGTTGCAGTACACTTGAAATTAAACTATAAATTTAGATAATATTCTGACTACATTAAAAATAAGTAACATCTTTTAAGTAAACACATTTCCAAACCATATTGCCATTGTGCACTGAAGTTAATTCTGTGAAGACTAAAAACTCTGTTTGGAAAAGTCAGTAAGTAGGTCTTTATATGCAATTGAAGTTTTGTTTTCCTTCTAAACGTTCCTTTACTAATTTTTCCAAACAGAAAAGATGCTCATCTGCATCTTCTGGCACAAGGTTCCTAACAGAATTTGCAAGTTCAAAAAGATATTCTGTATTTCTTCCACTTGGACCAGCTGCATTAAAAATTTGTTCGGCAATGTCTTCCAGAGGTGCAGGACCAAGATAATTAGGATTATCACATGTTCCAATATATAGCAACACACTGAATGGTTTTGTTGTGGGATCTTTTGGATAAAAAATGACCGTTGTGGTCCTGTAGCCTCCCTTCTCTCTGAAGTCAAGGTATGCTTTTACTTCTTCTTCCTTTCCTACTGGCAATCTGTAAGCTACACCCCATACACAACCCTGTTGAAAAATGAAAAGAATACACTTTAATATTTAGAGGGTTAATTAAAATAGGTGAATATATGTGGTGACATAAGAAAATATCTCAAATATTCTTAGAAGTCAGTGCAGTTTTGCTTCACTTAAAGTGCACAGAAGAGGAACATACTAAACAATAAAGGAAATCAGTATTTTGAAATCTCCATTCTAAATAATTTCTTTGTATC